TTATTGCTGTTCTAATTTTAGCCTTAACTTCTTCTTTGCTTAGTGGTATACTAATTTCTATATGTGATAATTTCATGTTTTGCTAAATGATCCGCGGATTTGATAAATTGGGACAAATACAGCTGCTGATGCTCGTCCTGTCTCGTGATCTTTGGAACCATCAGTGCTTAGGCGGTGCCGAAACAGAGCAGCCACTCTGGATGAAGAAACTATGAGTGGCAGAGACAAGCAGCCAATCACAGAGAGATAATCAAATACTCAGCCAACAGTGACGCGCCAAGTGAATCGAACAGCCAATGAAGAGTTCGATTCAGATCCGATTGAGATTGACGCCAATTACAAGCGTTAAATCGTTTCGATTGCGTTTTGTTATTGGGAATTTATTGAAATTTAAAGTGTCCATGTTCAGTTTCTTACAACCACGTTTTAACTCATAAAAAGTTATTTTGAGCCTAAATATAATTAGCATTTACAACATTCAATATTCAATAACAATATTCAAATTAATTTCTATATTTAATAACATACTATTTTTTTTAATTCCTCTCTTTTTTACGTGCTTTGATAAAACTTAAATTAAGTTGTAAACATATTTCCAGTACATTTTACTCCTGAAATTTCTGCGATTCCCTCATAATCTGGGACCGATTCACACTGATCCGTCAACGAACGTTCAACCAGGGCTGCGTTTCTCAAAAGCATGAGCTTATGTAGATCGTAGAACCATTGACACCAATGGTCTCTAAAATCAACTTAGCTCACGATGCTTTTGAGAATTGCAGCCCAGTTAATTGAAAAGCTTCGACTCAAAAGAACGATTCTTTCACACACACACACACACACACAGTCTGGTGTAGTCAGGTTTAAGTCCCCACCAGGTTATATAAACCAGTACACACACACACACACGTCTGGTGCACTATCCTTGTAGGGACCCTCCATAGGCGTAATGGTTTTTATACTGTACAAACTGTATTTTCTATCGCCCTACACCAACCCTACATCTAAACCTACCCCTCACAGAAAACTTTCTGCATTTTTACAATCTCTAAAAAAAAAAAAACTCATTCTGTATTATTTATAAGCTTTTGTACCCATGGGGACCTCAATTTAGGTCCCCACGGTGACACAAGTCCCCATGAGTTGGTGTGTATTCAGGTTTAAGAACACACCAGTGTAGAAAAACCTGTACACACACACACACACACACACACACACACACACACTTTTTTCTCTTCTCTCTTGATATCAACGCCTCACACTCCATCCCAGTAGGTGGCGGAATATGCATTTAAAGCTGGTTTGCCAACCGCAATTAAACGTCAAAGAAGAAGAAAAAGAAAAAGAAGAAGAATACACGCACAGTTTATTCCAGCTAGCAATACACACTACAGTTCCTCATTGACCGAATACATAACACTTGTCAGCCCATTTACAGTAGTTATTTTCCATGTAAACGGGGACACATGGCTTGGAAGTTCTCTAGCTCTGCTGTATTTAGTCATGTTGAAAGCTAAGCTGTTTTCTTCTGTCGTATTAGGGTGAAAAACGTTCAACATATCACTTAACGTTAATATTTTATTTTTTTGAACGTGTTCTCGGTTCGACGTGTCTTGTGATTCGCTGCTTATGTGTTTACACGTCAAGTAGTCTTCAGTTTTATTATTATGAGCTTTTGTGGCACATCAGCGTGGATTGCTAACGAAAACCATTAGCCACCCAGTTACAGTATTTGTCTGTCAGTAGTCACTCTGGAACTCTGAGGTCTCGTCAACAGATACACCAAGAGCCTAGGTAAGTGAAAAAAATGTGAGAACGCCAATTAACCTCTAGTGTGTTTCATATGGATATTATTTTGTTTGATATACTGAGACTGCGTTATTAGCCAAAGCTAACTTGGCTCTGTAGATGTACAGTAGTAGTGACAGAAATCTTATAAACCAATACTTTAGTGTATTTTTAAAGAGACTGTTTTTTTTTTACGGAAGTAATACACTTTAAAAGAATATACTTACGTACTGACTGAACGTAATGCTTTCGAACTCTTAACTGCATGTTATGTGCAATTAAATGAAAGTGTATTTATGGTAATCAAAAGTAGATTTATTGTCATTTTTATTTAAACTTGAATGTCATATATTTAAACATATTTGTAATTACGCATTTGTAACGATGTTGCAGTTTAATACATTTAAAATATATTGACTTTAAATGTAATATTAATTAAATTTCATACTACAGTTAAAATTTTAACTAGCCTCTAACTCAAGTACTTTGCATGTGCTTTAATATGTCAGTCAACGACATGGTCATGAAAGTGTATTCTCTTTAAGTACACCTAAGTGGTGTTTTATTTTATTAATATTTTACCTGCAAGCACAGATTTATTTATTTATTTTGCAATAAAAGTGCACATTCAATACAATTAATCACTTTTCTTTCCACCAGGATAATACTGTCCATATCTATCAAGTTGTAATATGTCTTATATAAACCCTTTTGTGAACATTTATACATTTTTTTTCTTTAGTGTCTTTTTCTACAAACCCACATAATCATGACTGCCATGCGAGTGGATGCTAAGGTGGTCATGCTTGGCAAGGAGAGTGTGGGTAAAACCAGTCTGGTGGAGAGATACGTACATCGCCGGTTTCTTGTGGGACCATATCAAAATGTAATTATGTGTTAGCATAGCAACCTCTAGAAGTAATTAGTCATTCAGAAGCAATTGATCATTTTCAGAGGTTGTTTGTTCTCATTAAAGATATTTTTGTGTATGATGTAAGTTTGACTGTCTATCAACAATCTCTAATCGTGTGTCATACTATAAACCAGCTCCACAGGTAAAGCCACCTTCCGCTGATGTTAATAGCTTTTTTACGATGACCGGTTTTTAGCCTTTATGTGTTCATGTGTGTGGTGTTTTTTAAAAATTTATTAATTGTTTTTGTCTCATTAAGACTATAGGAGCTGCATTTGTTGCGAAAGCCCTCAATGTCGGTGACGAGGTGGTTACTCTGGGAATATGGGTAAGTGTAGTCACTAGGGACTTTATATATGCTGATCAGCCACTCATTAGTGACTTCATGTGTTTAATTTCATCTCAGGACACTGCTGGGTCTGAACGCTATGAAGCTATGAGCAGAATCTATTACAGAGGAGCCCGTGCTGCCATTGTCTGCTATGGTATATCCCTCTCACAGTTTGACGGTCTAGTCTAGCAGTCAGGTGACATTGAGCAAGGAAATGGCTCATGCTTGCTCACTCTGTGTACATTTTACAGTAGTTATGAGTCCTGCTAGGCAGTTCATGTGTTTGGATAAAATAAGTTAATCAGGGGTCCTCGGGGTTCCATGTAAAATATACATAAAAAGTATACAATGTAGTTTTTATGGCTGTCAAATGTAAATGTGCACTTGAGATGATGTTTAATAATATTATTAATATTATTTTAATTAATATGATGTTACTTTTTCATTCTACATTTTAAAGATGGGCCCAAAAATTTAGATAGATTATTATTATTTTTTAATTACTTTATTCTGTTATTTTTAGTACTATTTTATTTTATGCTACTCTATTTAGTATTTAATAAATATAATAATCTGCATATCATTTTGTGGAAAAAAAAGGTATTTTATATAATTTATGTAAAAGCTATTTTTAAATATTTGCTTAGTACTTTGGCAATATAAAAATCAATTATTTAGTTTTGGAAACATTATTTAATTTAGTTGTTATAATATCATACTTAATATTTTTCTCATACACTGTAAATGTTTTTTTTTTATGTTGTTGAAAGAAAATGCTTTTTCTCATTACAGCTGCATTTCTTTGATCAGAAATACAATAAAAAAACAACAATATTGTGAAATATTATTACAATTTAAAATGACTGTTTTCTATTTTAATATATTTTAAAATGTCATTTATTCCTGTTAAGGTTAAAGCTGGATTTTCAGCAGCCATTGGTCCGGAATTTAAATGTTGTAACATTATAAATGTCTTCATTGTCACGTTTGGTCTATTTAATGTGTCCTTGCTGAATAAAAGTATGGATTTCTTTAAAAAAAATGAAAGAAAAATAAATAAAAATAAATCTTACCGACTCCAAACTTTTGAACAGTAATGTACATGGAAAAAAATCAGAAGACAATTAGCTCCTTCATAAGTGAAAAAGTTTGAAAACATCTCATTTTTATCCTAAATTTGTGGCTGTTTTTCTCCTTCACACTTAGACTTAACTGACAGCAGCAGTTTCGGAAGGGCCAGGTTCTGGGTGAAGGAGTTACAGAACTGTGAAGAGGTAAAATATACTCACGTCTCACAAAAACACAAGCATCTCTCAAGATTATTCAGCACAACTTTATGGACACATTATTTTATTTTCAGCACTGCAAGATATATTTGTGTGGCACCAAGAGTGACCTCATTGAGGCCGATCGAAGTATGCGGCAAGTAGACTACCATGATGTTCAAGACTTTGCAGATGGTTTGCTGCTTTTGTTTTCTATATGCAACTACTACAAAGCATTTCAATAAAACAACATTAACTTTTAACATTTACTTTTCTTTGCAGAAATAGGTGCGCAACATTTCGAGACCTCCAGCAAAACAGGAAAAAATGTTGGTAAGCGATGCTTCAGTTTATTTGCTCTATTGAGCACTATTTTTGTGTAACATGCAATTAGATACCGAGAAGTTTCACTTTGTTTTTTTTTTTTTTATACAGATGAGGTGTTTCAGAAAGTGGCTGAAGATTTCAGTAGCTGTGCTTTAGAGTTCATGCAAGGTGAGCTGCAAAGTGAAACTTTAAAAAAGACTTTGATTTTACACTTTACACCTGGTTCTGTGTGTTTCAGGTACAATGCTCAGTTACTTGTTGATTACCATAAGGATTTTTTTTTACAATGAACTAAGTAAACTGCTTGCAAAGAGCGTCTTTGTGAGGAAACAAAGGTGCACCCTTTAGCATTAGTAGCCCATAACCACTCATTTTTATGTGCAAAGATATGCAGGCTTAGAAACATCTGCCTAACCTACATGGCCTTGAATACCTAATAGTTCAGATTTGCTTCCAAAAACAGATGTACACTTATGTTCTTGTGTATTTTCTACAGTATTGATAGAAAAACATTAGCTGCTTAATAAACGGTATTTATTAATTTCCAAACCTTTTCATCCGCCTTATTTTTAAAGTAAGGGCAGGTGCAGCAATTTGTAACTTGAATGTGCAAGGTTTCTGGTGTCATCCACTTTCTGTTATTGTACTTGTACAAAAACAGTCTGTTATGCTGATTTATATTGTAAACTGGTGTTTGATATCGTGTTGTTTTAATATATTATTTTAATGATAAACACACTGGTTTATAGCGCAAATAGTTTTACTGTTTACAGTACTTTCTTATTCTTCTAGTTATTTCCGTATAGCTGCTAATGTATCAGAAGTCTCACACATTTAAAGACAATATCTTACCTCTGCATTGCAAAATAAGGTGGAAAGAAATATTAAGACATCGAATTCTGTATGCATTTAATAACAGTTTCATTTATCATTTTAGAAATGTAAACCATATTAGAAATAGAATTGATAAAATAATGTGATATTGTTTTTATTTTTGTTGTTATTGTATCCTTACAGAGGATATGGGAGTGGATCTTGGGCAAAAGAAGGACTCTTATTTTGACAACTGCTGCCATAACTGACATATCACTGGAAAAACTGCTGTATCATATGGTCTATTTTGGGATGACTGGAGGCTCACCATGTTTTATACTCCTCAAAGCATCAGCTGGAGTTTTTTGCTCTTTCCTTTTTATTCTTTTATATATATTTTTTCTGGTGTGCAGTATGTTGATTGGGTTTTTGGAAATGAAGAACCTGAAGGATTCCACCTTTTCCTGTGTTCAAGCAATTAACTTTTTTTATTTCTTGAACATGTTTTTTTTCTTTTTCGGATCTGACAACGTTGACTGAGGCAAATATTAACAGTGCATGGCAATCCATTTTACCAAAAAGAAAAAACATAAAGCAAGCTTTAGGAACAGATGCCATTGCATGGAGGTGATTGTTGCCAAATTTCACAAACAATGCCTTGAGTGATTTATCACCTTTTATAATTTAAAGTGTCTCCATTTTATAGATCTTTTGAGGATCGTAATGTTTACACCCTTCCTTTATCACACTGCACTCATGTATGAACAATTTAGTTTCATATGTCCACACTAAACATTTGCAGTTTTCACAGATCTGAGACCAGTTCAAACATTTTTCTCATAATGATACAGATTTAGATGTTGATGGGGTGGAAAAGTACATGGTAAAAGTAAAAGGCAGTTTCCAATTATTATGTTCTTGAATTGTAATGAAGCTGAAAAGTTGATGTCAGAATGTCAAAAGCTAATTACCATAGTTCTTGAGTCATTTATAATATCATGGTAAATTTGATATCTGGAAGTATCAACTCCGCAACAACAAAAACGTTTCACACTCAACAAGGTTTCACAACACTTAGTTTGCAGTGTTTGATAATGGAGCCCATAGCTTCCTGTATCATGTTTGTCCATTATTTGCAGTTGACTGTCTTTACCATGTTCCAAAAGTGAGTCAATGTGCAGCATTTGATGAATGTGATGTTAATGTTTACGGTGTTATTATTATTATTATTTAATTTGGGTAAGATTTTGTAAACTGGGACACTAACTTGTCAGTTGTGAACATGTTTGTGTGTACTTTGTACATACAGCCTTAGTTCGCTCTCAGTTCATATTGTGCCTGTATTAAATACTGCTCAACGAGGCCTGTAGCTAAAAATATGGTGTGCATATTTTACATGTCAGTCCAGAGAGATCCTGATATTATTTTCACTGGGTGTCCTACAGGAAAGAAGGACAATATTATGTTACTTTGTTACATTTTACTGTGAAATTACATTAAGATTATCACCAAAAAAAACTGAGCTTGTGATCTTTAAACAGCTGTTGCATATAAAATTTTTTTTTTTACCAATTTTGTTTAAATGAATCAAAATAGTATGAGCAAAGCAGACCAAGTCATTTAAAGGTGACATATTATGCTCCTTTTTACAATATGTAATATAAGTCTCTGGTGTCCCCAGAATGTGTCTGTGAAGTTTCAGCTCAAAATACTCCACAGATCATTTATTATATAATTTTGAAAATGCCTATTTTGAGTGGAAGCAGAAACGAGCTGTTTTTCGGGCCTGTGTCTTTAAATGCAAATGAGCTGCTGCTCCCCGCCTCCTTATCCAGAATAGAGCTGTGCCATTACAGCTCATATCTGCTAAAAAAATATGTTTTGGTTCTCATTATCATGTTTATCGGGCTGAAATCATGCGTTTTAAACCATATGAGTTTAAACTTCAGATATAAGGTTTTCTGAGCACACGCATCCGAAGCACAAGGACAGAAAGCTGCTGTCACAGCATGTGAGTACTAAACACAAGTTTCTCATTCACACACAAGTTCACGTTAAAAACACACATGAGTTACAAAAACAGTCGGTTATGTCTGTGAAGGTAAACAGCTGGGAAATAAATCACATGTTTATTTTAGATCTGTGTGGCAGCAGCAATATACAGTAAATAAATCAATAAATCCACTGCTCTGTTGTCTCCTCTGAGGCTGGGACTCTAAATAGTGTTCTGTGCTCGTCTGTGCAGCCAAAGACAGAACAGTTATCTGTTTTGCTCGAACTTTCGCCATGGCATTAGAGCTTGTACACCGTTGTCGCTTGCGAAATCAAAATGACGGCGCCATGGGTGGAAACTTACAGATTAAGGGGCGGTAATATTATAATGAGATCCCTTTGCCACATCAC